TGATTAAGGATTCTAAGGGGGTATCATTGCCCATTATCCGGCATATCAATCGGTTCCTCCTGCTTCTTGCTTGTAACGATGTGCATAAGCTTTGCTTGTACATCGTTTTCCATTTCCCTCGCAAACTCCTTTTTCCTTAGTCAACCAAGTGTAAACAGAACCCAAAGAATTACCACCCATCTCATCATACATATTCCGTCATCCACCCTTTTCAACGCACTCTCATATCATATCATGAGGACGGCTTTCAAGGCTCAGCAGACACCAACCTCTCGTGCTTCAGCTCAAACTTGGCATGATACGCCGGTCTCGGCATCGCCAATCCGGCCTCCACATCCTGCAACACCCTCGCGTTAAGATCCTCTATCATCTTGCGCTGCTGCTCCGGGTCCATCCGCTGCTGGGCTGATCGCGCCGCGTTGTCGCTGTAGTTGCCCGCGCCGCCGCGCCCGCTCAGCCGGCCGGAGAGGTTTGGCCGCTGGATGCTGGCTGTAACAACGCGCGTCAGCTCCTCGAGCTCGGCCTCCTTCTCCTCCTCCTGCTGAGCGGCTGCGGCCGCGTCGGTTGCCGAGGCGTCGTAAAAGTTCCCCGCGCCGCCGCGACCGCCGGCGCGCGAGCTGCCGAGACTGGTCTGCGCGGTGATGGAGCGCTCGAGCGTCGTTGGCGAGGTGGAACCGGAAGACTTCTTTTGCGCCTCGAGATCCTGTGGTATGGGTTTGAGTATGGCGGACACAACGCGAGAGACGTATCCAAACAGAATGACACAAGTGCTGTCCGATCTTGCGTGTGTTATGATGGAAGAAAAAAAGAGGTACACTTACAGCAGCCGCCTTCTCGGCCTCTTCAACGTCCCTCCTACTATACCAATTCCCCGCACCTCCGCGGCCCACTCTGCGGAAGACTTCCGACGACATTTCCGGTCCGAGCGACGGGAACGGGTAGGTCGAAGATGAAATGAGGTGGGGGTAGGTAGGTAGCTGGAGGTACGCAAGCAACAACTGGTAGGTTCAGAGCCCAACAACGACAGCAGGCCAACAGGAGTCCTTGGATGGCAATAAAAGAGTGGTATGTAGTAGTGAGCGTGTAGCTTGGTTCGTGACAAGGAAAAAAGCTTGTTTGTTATGCTGTGGCCAGGGTAGCGAGTTTCAGGGAGGCAAAGCGTTGATCGAGAGACGAGCGGCGCACAGTCGGAATTGTGAAGATCCACGGAATTGCTTGTAGGGGACTCTTTTGCGGGGTTGTTGATTTTTAAACTTGTGACCTGCCCCAAAACCTCGTTCAGATGATCGTTTCAGAAGGTGAGCAAAATGGGAAGAGAAGAACAAGACAAAACACCAATGCTTGCAGTGGTAGACTGACGAGATTGTCAAACAATAACCCGTGTATCCCACGACATTACGAATGCCATAACCAATCCGTCTTATTCATCTCCAAATCCTTATCAGAAGCCGGAGGCGTCTATGGAGCATCACTAACTAGATCCAGCAGCGCAACTATAGACTAACTGTCTTGTCCCGCGGGTTTTAGTGGACTGCTATCAGCGAGCCTTTCATCTTTTTGACGAGCAAACCACTCCCGTCTTTAAGTTTTGACCGACTTTGAAGGAAACCTCTAGCCATCAGACAGCTGGACGCATCCGAAATACTTTAGTTGGGAGCACAAAGTGCGGAAGTACTCCGTGTTATTATCGTCAAATCTTTGATGGCGTCCGTAGTATTTGTCTGGCCCATTCCATGGGCTCCTCGCGTGATGCCCGTGGAAATAGGAACTACTGGGTACAACAACGCCACGCTACTCTGTGGATGTAGCTATCCTTCTACACAGTAGGTATCACGACTCGACCTCTCGACTACGTAATAAGTTCTTAAGACTGAGGCTACAATATTCTTGTTTGACCATCAAGGTACCGCAGATCTGAACAGTGGTCTGCCCCGGGTTGGTCATGTCGATCAATCACTTAATGGCTTCGGCACCTTCCGGTTCCCGTCGACCGTTGCGCCAACACAAGGCCCATGATAATTCCCTTGGATTTTCTTCTCTCTCCTCAACCTTACGTCCTCTGTTCTTTCTTGCATATAGTGCATGATGCATCTTGGAGCAGCTCGAAACCATACCTAGGTACATTGTTACTGTATCGCCTCCCCGGCTCTGTAACCCCCAACGGAACGGAGCGTGGAACGTCGATACATAAAAGTCTAGACCCCTGGTGTTGATGCAGGTACAAAGCGACTACGGATGGTTTTTTTTTTTGGTCTTTTTTTTTGTTTTTTTCAATGTCAAGCTTTTGTTGTCCAAAACCCTGTCTGTGGGTAGGGAGTTTGACGCGCAGCCCGTGCTCTCGTCCCTCAAAGTTTCGGCAGGACATCCTGTGTTGTGCTCTCAAAGTTCGCCTTGTGTTCCTTCAAACGTGGTCGAGCCAAATCACAAATTACCGGTAGTATGATGCCTGGACCCGAGCGAACTTGAACAACGCTGTCAACTGTTCAACCGTAAACGTGCGGGGTAAAAGCGAGTCTTTTCGCCTCCAGCTTGGTGAGGAGCCCCAGGAGCAGAGGAGGAACTGTTATGGTACAGTAGTTCTAAGCTGCCTTATGTCTAACGATTAGCACTTGGAATGCTCCGGTGTGATGCTGATCACCAAGACGTTGCGAATCATTGGGAAATTCATGCACGGATCCCGATCGATACAAGGACCTCAACGAAGAGTGAACGGAGAACAGCAGAGGATCGCAGAAACCTGCAAATTCGGAGTCAAAAACGTTTCTTGAATCCGACTCCGACCACACCGAGCAGCCGGAGATCAAATCGCCGATCTCCTCACATGCCGAAGAAGGTTTCCACCGCCCGCCGGTCCGTCACATACCTTAGTGTAGACCCCGCCATCGTTGTCGGAACCAGGAACATAACATACATAACCTACCGGAGGCTTCGCCGTCAACAACACTACACTACATCCAAGGACGAAGTTGTTGCTCGAAAGCCGGCCTTTTCTCCGTCACAGCTCCGTCAAAGAGGATATGGTTGAGTCGGATGGAGACTGTGCCTCCACTTGCCGTGTTTCTGCCATTCTTGGGATCCTTGCTAGGAGGATTGAATACTTGGTTAGCTGTCCGTTACTCCCCAGCCGTTTCCGCCTTTCAACGTCATCTCGTTCTCCATCGTTCCACGCCCGGAAACAAGCCACCAGGGACAATTGACAACTTCCCCAGTGGCTTTTGCATTGGTTGCATGAAAGTCTCTAACAACAACTATAAACCCCGGTGCTGTAGACGTTTCTGGACATCCTGGAATGTAGCTTGGGTGAGGAGAAAAGGTAGCGGGCACTGTGTTCCGCAGTTTCCCCTTTATGTACTCATTTAAGTACTTATCCCATATGAGTTTTGTGTTTTTAAATATTCTCGAGGCATCCTGGCTCACAGCGCGCGTCCCTTGCGTCGAATCCAAGTGACGTTGGGTAGCATCCAACTCGAACATAGGCAGGTGATGGACGATCTCGAAATTATTCTTCTGTCAGCGGATAGGGTACTGTAAAGATCTGTAGGTGCTGCTTGCCTGATGTTTGTTAAATCGTTCTGTATCGGAGGAGCGAAACGTATCAGAACAAGACAGCAGACTTCGATTTGGTCTCTTGGACTTTCAAGCACATTTCACGAACGATCTCCAATTCAAATCCACATACGCAGAAACCCAAACACCCAGAAAAAGAAGAAAGAAAGACGATGGTCGTTAGTCGATCCCACAAGTAACCTTACCTCAACACCTGGAACTCCATCGAGCGGCCAGTTTGGTATCACCTAGGCTGTCCAGCTTGCCCACTCGCCCACTCGCCCACTCTTTTGCCCAGCCCGTCCAGCCCATCCTGATGATCTGTACCTTGGCCTAACGGGATATCAGGGTCTTGACCTTCAACACAAGCGGAAAGCCCACTTTTGTCCATGTCGACGAAACGTGGTTGGATATCGGATGCCAATGCCGTGTCCATCAGGTACCAAAAAAGATGGAGCTTCCCTCCAACTTCTTTTTTCTTGAACGAGTTTGGTTTGGGTTGGTTTGGCACACACGTCTTGCGGCTCAAGTTCCGAATGGTCTCGAATTAGGACCCTTGGGTCGGGACCTCAACGTCGTGTCTTCTTGCAAGAGCAAGAAAAAAAGAATGGCTTCCATCGGTTTAACATCAGCCCCAAACCCGACGAGAGAGGTTGCTAAAAAAAAACCGTGCCGTCACCTCCCTCTTCTCTCTCGGAGGAGGATACATATGTGCCCGACAAGTGGAAGAAAAGGCCCGGGACAGACCGAACGGTGGCGTTCTCGTTCTCTTCGACAAAAGTCTGGGGAAGCAAGGAAAAGCTAGGTAAGGGGAAATGCAGTAGGGTTTCCTTTCCTTGGCGATCTGGTCATTCCGATAATTGGTTTAAACGGCCCACTGTAGACAGCTACTGTTGCTCTTTTTGGGAATAGGTTTAAATGCTCGCAACGGTGAAGTCCGGTGATTGAACGAGCCCCAGACAAGATGAGCCGTGAGCAGGTTGACAAGGACCCTTACCTTTTGGTACAATTGTCGGTCATTGATGTGGCAGTGGGCCTGTCGTCGATACCTTCTCTTCTAGGGAGTTGTAGCCCTGCAAAAGGCCTGGTGGCTTGCTTTTTCTTGCCTATTCTGTCTTGGACGGCTTGCTGACTGTGATGGTTAATTTGAGGGATTGGTGCATGTGGTTGTGTATCTCGTTCTTGCCATTGCTGGTGACTAGAGAATATAGATATGGTCAGTTGGCAACCTTTTGATGCCTCTTCAAAATCGAATTCCTTCAAAACAATCGTTGCAAGTTCACACAAACGAACACAGTTGAATCCTCTTCGAGGGGCTCCTTCACCGGTGCGGATGTGCCCCATCTTGGCTTGTCCAGTGCCTGGCCGTGCAACGTGCGATGTGCTGCATGAACAGGGAGCGTGGATGTTCAGTTTGGCCAAGGCCGGGTGCGGCGTGAACCTATTACCCCCAGGCCGCCTGACAGTCCTGCACCGTGCGAGCAGAAGTACAGGCCTACGGGGTACATATTGCGTGCCTCTAGCACTTGTCAGTGAAAGAATGATTCAAGAGGGCTTAGTGCCCAGAGTTTCGGAATAGCTGTCACGGGTTCTCAGTCAGCAAGTGGGAGACAGCCCGGCTGAATACTCAAGCCTGTTGATTGAAAGAGGCAAACTGCCTGTATAACAGCCAGGTTGAGCGCTTTTCTCGTCGTCAACCAAAAAGACATTGAAACAAGTGATGCCAGCACGCTGGGAGAGACCAAATGCAGGTCCACCAGGAGCATGAAACTGCAGAGATGTCCAATTGTACCGACTGTCCTACATGGACATACCACAGTAGGTGTACGATTAGAAGTGTGTATATGATGTGGAGTCTTGCATTGCCATTTAAGTTCACTGCAAGTGGACACTTTTCCGTCTTTCCTTCCAGTCATTCATTCACCGTACCTTTCCAAAGAACAAGACCGACGTTTCGCTTGGAGAATTCCACTTTGCCAAACATTCTCGAATAACGTTGACGACTGGGAGTACGCAATCGGATAGGTAATGGGCATCCGTGCCTGCTGTGGTGATTCCTGGCTTGGGGCTCAATAGTCTCATGTCGTCTGCAACCTGATATTACCTCTCGATGGCAATTGATGTTTCCTTGTTTTGAGTTTGTCTTGCCTTTTTTCTTCATCTGAAGGAGCTGGTTAATGTCAAGCAAACCAACACAGTTGCAGATCACGCCCCCACGGTCATTTACAAAATTGAAGTTGTTGGCCTGAGCAAGCATCTTGAACTGTCTCTAGCTCAATGTTTGTTGTTGTAGCGTGTAACTTGTAACTTTCTTTTTGGTTTCCCCGCCGCCCCGTCCCAACTGCTGCGAGATATTAGCCGGCTCCAC